ATATACACACATATATACATAGTTACCCATAGTTTCTGTAACAACAAACAAATCTGGCTTGTGAGAACAGCTTAATTGTCCCACGCTCCCGTGCAGTGGTGCTCGCGCCACATCTCATCTCTGCAGCTGCAGTCACTCACAAAACGCAGTCATGGCAGAAGCAGCGGACCCGAGTGGCGGCAACTCTGTATCCCTGTATTTACGGATAAGTGTTGGTGTTGTTAGCAGGAGGACTAGCTAGCAGCAAAAGTGCTTCAGAGCACAGAGCGTCTCTCCTGCTCACAGCCTGTCAGCCGCAGGAGAGCGTCCCGGTTGACAGGCTGTGAGTTGACGAGTCACACTGGACGGAGGAGAGATGTAGAGACGCTAATACTGTACACTAGGGTTGGGTACCAAAACTCGGTACTTTTTGTACTTGGTACCGATTCACGTTGGTACTACTGAGTACCGATTCACTTAAAATGAATTGGTGCCAAATTTCGGTACCTGAGGGGGAGGCAGAGCGAGAGCGCATGACTTGCACCTCAGACTCAGCAACAATGGCGACAAAAAAAATGTGCAGACAAAAGTTAACATGCAGCACTGTTCCTAAATGTTCTCAATAAAATGTTGAAAATGAGAAGTTTAGACTATGGGCCCGAACGACGCATAGTGTGTCCAAATTCACACCCGTTCTTCTCTGTGGATTTTCTCCGTGACCATGCGTCATAGCGAGAAACCACGCATATCACGTGAAACAGCAGAACTGTAGCTTTCTGACAAGGCCAAGCACATGTCAGTAATCCAATGTTTTCACAGCAAAAAAAATTGATAAAATTACAATAAAATGATGTATAACAGTGCTTTCATACAGCTTTGCACACACATTACAGCTGGATGGATTACTCGCGAACGCAGGCTCGCAAAGAAATGCCACGCATATCACATGAAAGCGCAGGACCACACACACCCAGACAACTGCAGCCTAATTATGCATGCTGACAGGGCAGTAGTCACCATGTGACAGAGTCACCTAATCATTAATTAAATGCAATTTAAGATTTGGAGATATCTGGGAAACAACAGGTTTCTTCGATTATGTAAAAAAATAAATAAATAATTCCCTGTACATGTATAAGGGTAAGATGGGGTATCCGCTGTCGTGTGTGTAAATTTCTGTATGTGTAAAATGATAATTTACAAAAATGGACGAGATTATTTAGGGAGGAAGAGGCGGAGAAGACGGAAAAAAAAGAGGCGGAGAAGAAGGGACCAGGAAAAGGAACAATAGAGTTGGCAGACCTAAACGTTAGGACCTGAATATAAAGTAAAAGTAACGAGCTGTGGACATTAAGTAAATTAAAAAGACCATTAAAAAGAAACCCATCAGTGGTTACCTTAAAGACCCGTCCTTTCACAGTATCCCAGCTGGACATCTCGACCTCAGAGGACAGAGCGTGTGCCCAAGACCAAACAGATGGATTACTTTCCCTGACTGACTGCACGGTCCCTGGGTGAGATCGTTTCTTTTATATATTTTTCCTGGTATACCAGAGGTACAGCGATCGATCGCATATTTTTGTTTGTTCATCGGTTTTTGCTGTGTGGATCTGCACTATTTTTGTTTGACACGCCTGGATGAGTGACTGTTTCGTTTGCGTGCATCACGGACTCAAAAATAATCAAAAGACATTTAAAAGTTATTGAAAATGGACAGTATTGTATTTTTCGTTAGTTGGGACTGTGAGTTTATTTTGGGGATTGCAAAGGCTGAGATTGGTTTTGTGATGTGACCTTTCTTTTTTAATTTATTTAAACCTACGCATGACGTGCGTATAGGCGCTGGGGGGAGGAATTAATTAAACGTGTGTTATTTGAATTTATACACTCTGTTGAGAGTTTCATATATCTTTATTCCTTAATATTTGTTGTTGTTTTTTTTGGGGGGGATAAATATTTTTTATTTTTCCCAAAAGTTTTCTATTTTCCTGAAAAGAGCCCCCCTTGTATAGTTAACGCTTACTTGAGAAAAGGTAAAGTGTTACAACCATATACATTGAGGGGGACACGCGCCCCCCCACCAATGCCCAAAATGTCCCCCCAATATATAATTGAAACTGAAAAACAAATATTATCTTGGAGGACATCATTGCAATTGGTTAACTATTTTTCTATTATCTTAGATGTAAATATTGCATGTTTCTTTCAGATAAAACACATTTTTGACTTGTGAATGAGTCAATGGAATTTCTTGCAATAATAAAAAAAATACTGGCAATAATGTCCGCCTGGCACAAACCACATGTTTTGGACAACTGTGAAGTGACAGAATGTCCCAGCATCATGGTTCTTATATTGTCAGACTCTCCCCTCTTCATATATGGCAGAATATGTCAACTTCCAACTTGCTATGGTGAGATACATGTAAAAACGTAAGAATTTAGGCACACGGATTTGTTTTTTTCATTAGTATAAAAAATAATAATATAAAATACAGGCACATAGAAGGACATGGAATGATGGCAAATCTGGTTAGCCCAGATTGTCCTGAAAAAAAAAAAAAAAGAAGATATAGCATGTGTATGTAGCCTTTATAATGACTGCGATATGAGCTTAAAAGTAAAGGCAGTAAAAATACCCCAAAAAGGCCGAGGGCCCATAGGGTTAAAAAGTACTGAAATAAGGTACAGTTTGGTACCGGTACCAAATTCCAGATACCGGTACCGTATCGGTTCAATTATGAACGGTACCCAACCCTACTATACACGGACTTTGTTGCATTTAACACCAGAGCTGAAAGCGCCAGAGTCAGAAACGAGACTGTTCAATTTATGAACAGGTAAAATAAGATTAAAATTAAATGAAATTAAAAAGAGAGAGAAATAAGACTAAGATATAAATAAGTGGACATAAAGAAAAACATTATTAATAAAATGTAATATGTAGCACAGGTAGATGGACCTGCCTGCTTGGCATCACTGCCCGACGCACCTCCGACGGTGCCTTTGCGCCAGCTGCAGGGTCATCAGCCGGGAGCCACCCTTCACTGATGTTTCGCTCCATTAATCCCGGAACATCTCTGGGTGGTGGAGCAGCGATAAGCCCTAGCGGTGTTGGATAGGCCCTGGTCTCCCTGTCTAACAAAATGGATGCGTCTCTGTGAAGGTACTGTGCTGTCCTTCTTCACCTCAAGCCAGCGTGCTTCCAGGATCTCAGCGATCTTTCGCAGGACCCAGTCGTGGCGCCATCTGTACCGGCCCTGCGTTAATGCTGACTTGCAGCTAGAGAGGATGTGCTGCAGACTTGGGTTCTGGGAGCTGCACAGCTGGCAGCTCCCCTCAGTACCGTACCAGAGGTTGATGTTCTGGGGGCTTGGAAGGGTGTCATAAGTTGCCCTGATCATAAAGCTGAGGCGTGCTTGTGGTATCCGCCACATGTCAGCCCAGGTGACGGATCGCTTGATCACCGCCTCCCAGGCTGTCCACCTCCCTTGCTGACGCTGGCCAACTGCCTTGATCTTGTAGGACTCCTCCTCCATCCTCACCACCTCAGAGATTACCAGGTCCTGTCTCTCCTTCACATTGGCTCTGGACCATATCTTGGCCGCGGGACCCCAGCCAAGACCAGTCCTGCCTGGTTGCAAGACTCCCATGATCTCATGGTGCTTCAACCGGCTAATGGCTTGATCCACTGTTTGCACTGCGTCCCACTTACGTCCTGTTCGAACCTGTGCCCTGGCGTTTCTAACGGTTGGATCGGGTGAGTCTCTCAGTTGGAACACGAGTCTCACCTTCTCCTGTTTGTAGCCCAGGCTGATGGATTTCAGTGGTAGCGTGAGCATGTTTTTGCCAAACAGTGCCACGTTGGACAGGCACCGTGGGAGGCCAAGCCATTTGCGGATGAATTTGTTTGCTTTGGCATCCATCTGCATTGCTGCTGAAGCTGTGATGTCACTTAGCTTTAATGGCCACATCACCCGTTGGTAGAGGGTGTGCTGGTAACACCAGACCTTGAATTTCCCTGGAAGGTTGTTCTGGTTGATCTTCCTCAGGCCGTCCACCAGCTGGGATGTCACCGTGGCAACCATGTGCCTGTCGGATAGATCCGCCGTGTAGAGCCTGCCAAGGCTTCGGATTGGATGTTCTGCCACTAGAGGGATCTTCTCGCCATTTACCAGGAAGGAGATGTTGTCGTTCCTGACCCCTTCCAGATTGAGAGACTGCGGGACTTGGCTGGTTTGATTTTTAACCGGGCCCAGGTAAGCAGTTTCTCAAGCCTTTTCAGGAGCCTGGAAGTGCATGCAGCTGTCTGGAGAAGCGTGGTGATGTCATCCATATAGCTGCGCAGGGCTGGGAGTCGCTGCCCTGACTGTGCTTTGACTCCACAAGCTTAAAAGCCAAACTAAAAAGATATGTCTTGAGTTTGCTCTTAAAAATATCAACAGTTATGAACTAAAACACAGTAATAATATGCATTTCCTATCCCTCATTTCAGAAACAGCCACCCACTCCANAAAATGGCACTACATAGAGAGTAAATAAATTTCGCATAAACAGTGTGGGTTCAACTTGGTTTGATCAGAAAAAAGTGCATCTCCGTGGTGCTTTGGCATAGACTAGAAATAACACTATATATCAGCAGTAGTATTTCCATACATCTTCAAACGCTACATTGGCCCCTTGAGGCTTCCACCTGGTTAGAGCGAACCTGGCGGGCAAACATAGGATTTCTCCTTTACTGCACGTCTGCTATTGGCAATAATGTAAATCATTCTCTAGCGTGCATGTCTCCGGTGTGCGTATGTGTGTTACAGCAGATTGCAATCACTACATTTTGTTAGGCAGCATCTCTCTCACAGCAAAATATTGCTTCTTCCTTTTTTTTTTGGCACCTCTCTGCAAAAAACAACCTCCCACTCAAAAGTAGGATGTCCCGTTTTTTTTTGTTTGTTTTTTTTGTCTTTGTATACCTTTCTACCAAGCATGCACGCAAACAGACACACATACACATGCACACACCTCCCATGTTCGTCACTGAACCACTGCACTGTGCATAAAGCCCCCTAATGCAGCAAAGGGTCCAGGCATGACTTGTGAGGGTTTAGGAATTTCCAGGGAACCCTCTGAAAGTCACTCTCGCACTCCAAACCAGCACCAGTAGAAATCTACACAGGAAAAAAACAGACAAGGGATAGTTTGAATGAAAGATTAAAAAACATACAAAGCTTGATCATGTGCAAGGGCAAAAAATTCCACTGTGAAAATGTCTTTCTCCGCTGTTCTTGAAATCCTGTTTTTGTTCCTCTAACTTTTCAGTTTCATTGATTCACTGACTGATTTCATAGTTTGTCACTAAAATTTCTCTGATCAGTTTTCCCGACTTTATAGCTGTGAAAATGCAGATGAGATCAGATTAAAAATAAAAACAGTTGACTGAGTCACAGCATGTGATTTTCAGACATGTTTGCCCACCTCTCAGGCTAGGTACAAGACGCCCTATCTTACTTATGGAGGTTGTTTGGGCCAGGAAGACACCTGCCAAAAGTCTGTCCACTGTGCTTGCTTCTTGGCTAGAAAAATTATCTAACAAAGAAATCCAAGTTTTATTTTAATTTACAGATGCTACTCTCTAAGCAGATCCATTAAGTGACCATCAAGTCTCTACCAAGTAGTGCTGTCATGATGCTGGAATTTCTAATTTTGATTTAATACCTCAAAAAATATAGATATTCAATACTACAGGGAAAAACTGACACTGAGGGCATACAATTTAAAAGCATTATTAAAGGACAAATATAGTAAGGCTTGTAGCAGGACAACAGTGATTCTTCTTAGTAGCAGAGAATATCAGAAAGACTGTTGTAAACATTAACAGTAATTAAAACAATTATTTTTTTGCAGTGATGCACATGTTGAAAAGCCTCTGGGATTGCCATTTCAAATGCTATTAAGTGCAAGTAAAAAACAAAACTGTGACAACATCACTATCATATAAACTAAAAATGATTTTAAGCAGGCAGCATTACAGTTATCTGTAAATTACTATGGGTGTGTCATATTTTAGATCTAATATATTTTATCCATTATGTCTATTTCATCCTTTTTTATCTTATTGTTCAGTATCTTACTCTATTTCATTCTCTGTAGTTTTAATGGTTTAATCTAATAGCGTGTAAAGCAACTGTAATATCATTAAGCATTTTTATTATTTATCTATCTAACCAGTTTTATTTTTATTCATATTTTTTGCTGGATTGGTGCAGAAAGTCGCACACAGTCCCATTTTGTTGTTGGAAAACATCTTGTGTCTGAAGCTAAACCTAAGCCCCTGATGATTAACAATGATACTTAATCAGATTCTTCTGTTTAAATTATACTTGAGCATCACTTTAAATATTTTACAAATACTTTAAATACACACAATATACTTTAAATGGTTTGGGGTCTCACCTAGTGGCCAGCAGGTGGCGTGATGGTGTCTTACTGGAAGTGACCCCCCTCCAGTGAGAACTTGGAAAGGGCCTCCTGCAGCCTGTGGTGCTCCTCTTCTACAGTCTGCAACACACAAAATCAATATCACCTTAGAAACTGAGGACAGACATTCGCATCCCCACCCCCTCACACACACACATGCACACACACACTTCAACCTCCTCCTCTTAACATCCTCTCTTCGTCTCCCTCGCTGCTTCTCTGACACATCCCATTGCAAGCGCTGGACATAATAGCCATTTTCAGAGAAGTCCAATTTCACAAGGCAATTTTCAGCCAAGCAATAACAGCAGTGGTTAAATGGTTTTCTATTCTCTAGTTTCTCTTTTGTGCCATTTTGGCCCCATTTGTCCAAAGTATACCACAGCTCGCTCCTTACTTAAGTTATCCTCAGTGAAATCCTTGATGCCCAACTGTGTGTCTCTTTCCAGTCGGCTCCCATCTTTTGTTATGTCTCTCATCTTTATCTGCCCCTGTCATACTACCTGCTCCCTGCTTTTTTTCCTTCTATATTCTCTCTCTCTGTTCACCTCCCCTCACCTGTAGTCTCTTTAGTTGTTCCTCCAGACTGTGGAGCCTCCTGCACACTTCCTCCATCCTCTCCTGGGACAACACCAGCGGTGCACTGATGCTCCTCTCCTCCTCTGCCTTCGTCCCCACGCCTTCTTTTTCACAAGAGTTATCGTTCTCCTCCTCCGCTCCCCTGTCTGTTGTCTGGCTTTCTTCTGTGAAAGGAAAGACTCAATTTAGATGTGTCATGAGTCAGCTTTGTTTCTAACTGCAGTAGATTCTGACCAATAAAACTGTTTCACAAATTATCTATTTCTTATTCAAGTACAGCAGGCAGGTGTAAAGATAAGTAGTACAGCCTAAAAGTATATGTGGTCCTGTGCAGAGGTAGGTTGTGGGCATATGGTGGTCGTTAGACTGTGTTAGGCTGATCTACATTTTGCCAACAGGTGGTTTCAGTGGTAGGTTTAAAGATTTCTAACATCAGAATTGTTAATGTTCATGCAGTAGAGCTTGATTCATTTTGACAAAAAGAAATTAATTTTGTTTTGAAGAGGAAGAGACCTCTGCGGATAATTTGGCTCCAAGTAAATACCTCCTGATAATGAACACTGAGGGAATTCTAACCAGGAATTCAAGCTTGGCACATGAGAGAAGTTTCAGCTGGTTGCAATATGAAATCCTCTAAATCTAAATCCTGCAGACTGTTCCTTTAATCAATGACTTTTAAGGCTTAATGTTTCTAAAATTGAATTTAAGACATTTAAGACTTAATAAGAACATGATGACACCTTGTGTTACTTAAAAACACAAAAGAGAAATTTTACTTGAAGCATGTCTGCAAAGTGTTCACTGCAAATGTTAGATGTTCATTCTTAATCTGTCTGAAAAGATTTTGGTATTCTTCAATTCTGAAAAAGGTCAAAGCCAACTTGAAGCACCAGATGTGATGTGCTGAATTTTTCAATATTTAACCACAACCATAATATTCCCCAAACCTTGACCATTTTTTTACAAGCCTATTTCTATTATGTGAGATGTGGGACATAAACCCTGTGCTCTGGCGTCAAAATATGTTGCTTTGTATTCCCAACCGCCCACCCCTACCTCCTCAGGCAGCAGTTGTGTTTCCTCCAAAACATATTTGGCAAAGCCAATTATTATATAAATGTATTTTGTAATAGACAGGGTTTGTTTGAGCAAAAAACACTACGGCACAAAGGAAATACATTTGGACATCACAACGCTTTTGAGTCTCTACTGGAATTTTGGCTCAGTTTCATGGGACAGAGCTCAAGGTTAAACCCTAAAGTGAATAATTGAAACACTTCAGAAATAGTGCTGGCTAGGCAGGGTGACATTATCCTAGATGGCAAGTTTTCTGGTGTCTCTTACCTGCCACCCACGGAGAAATCAGAGATGGCATAGAAGTACGAGCGCAACACTTTGGCATCCTTAAAGAATTCATCTCCAAAGGTGTTGAGCCTGTCCAAGGAGATGAGCAGGTCAGTGGCTGTCACCCATTCCTGGAAAAGAAAAAAAGGCAGGGAAGAAGAAAGGCCCAACAGGGTGAGAGAGATGTTAGAAAACACCTTTTGATGTTGTCCACTTCAGTCAGTGTGTTGGCTGCTGCCAGAAAGTAGACAGAAAGTAAGATGGAGAAGAACACCAACTGGGCCTTAGTTGAGAGACAAGAGGTGCAAAGATACCCAAGACAGCAAAAGTTGACAGAGCAAAGAAAAGAAGTTGAAATTGGAGAGTTGGTGGATCAAGGAGACAGGTGTGATGGTGTAACGGCAGGGGAGAGAGCAGATGTAATGGGGAGATAATGAGTATGGTGCAGAAAATTGAGTTAATGTCAGAAAGAGGGGTGAAGAAAGAAGGGGATTAATGGAGACAAAAGCTGAAATATGAAAAAAACATGAGAGAAGAGACAACACTGCAGCACTACTTCAGTATAATGGATGGCGCGTGGCAAAGCTCCCATCCCTGATATGATTTGAGCTCCTCTGTTTGAGCCCACTGCAAAGGTAAAGACAGGATGAAGCAAGAGTGGGAGAAGAAAGTGAAGAGGGATAACACGAGCAGACAAAAAGCAAACGGGAAGTGCAATAGTGGGGTGGAAGATAAAAGTGAGGCCAGGTAAAGGGAGAACAAATGACATGAGGAATCTCATACTCGTGAAGAGAACCAACTTTAAAACAAATAGCTGAAGAGAAACTTTCTGTCTGTTTCTTGGCTGGTTTGGGACTCTGTGGCAGTCCTGAAAAAGCCTGTAATGCTGTACGTTTTGAAGCTTCTCCCCAGGGGTGTCTTTGAAGTGTGGCAATGGGAGAAAAGGATATTGGAGCGGATGGGCCTCAGACTAAAAACATGTGTGAGGAGTTCATTCATTCATGTTTTTCTCAGGCACTACAGCTTGTCTTTGTAGTGTTAAAGCCCATCAGATAGTATCTACTAAATAGAACTGGGTTTAGCCTGTTGCAGCCTATGAAGTGGTAAAAAGTACAAATTGTGTTTACTTTACAAAGCATGTTTACCTTGTTTTCTTGTCATCATTTTTTAATGCATATAGCATAAATGATATCATATCTTCGCCATGCTCGCAGCATGACCCTAACAGATTTTGTACAGGCATTCATGTTCCCCAGAGGATGAATTTTATTGACTTTGTTTATCCCCTGATTTTATCTATTGCATGTTGATATTTTTGGCTTTTTGTGAAATATGACAACTATTTGACAACTACTGGATGTATTTTTACAGATTTCCAGCCCAGAAAGTCAGATGAACCTCAGCAACCCTGACCTCAAAATCCAACATGGCTGCCCCGCACATCAATAGCAGTGAAAGCTAAAGTAACACACCGTTTATTTGCACTTATGCCTATTTGTGTCTCATTAAAACAGTTATACACGCAGTACTGTCCAACTACCATCTGTGGACATGTTGCTACAGTGTGTCTGTGTGCAAAATACCATGTAATGCATTTTTATCAACTGGTATTGCTAACAATGGCTAGCCTGGTTTTATTAGGTTTTCTTGGTTTTCTGACTTGCACTGGAATGCAATCAACTTGGTGTAACGTCAATTCCAGCTCTGACTTCAACGCGACCTTAACACGATCAACTCGGTGTGACGTCTATCCCAGCTCCAACCTCCATTATCAGGGGTATATGGAATGCAGCATAAGCATTGTGACTGTGAGCATTTTAGCATGCCCACATTGGATGTTGCTGGAAGCATCACTGCGTCTCAGTGCAGCTTCACAGATGTTTGCTATTTAATGTTATTGTAAAGTTACAGCAGATCATGAACATGCATTTGAAAGTTGTTAAGAAAAAAAAATAGCGCCTTTGGGGATCCTCCAACATTGCAACAAGCAAACATGGCTCATTTGGCGGCCAACTCTAGCGTTGCCACCCGTCCCGTTTTTCCCAGAATTGTTCTCTTTTTTCATCAGCTGTCCCGGGAAAAAAAAAAATCTCTCCCGGGACACAATTTGTCCTGTTTTTTGGGGAAAATGCAGCAGCAGCAGGCCAAGGAGTCCATCCAGAACGACGCGTAGTGCGTCCAAATTCACATCTGTTCTTCTCTATGGTTTTTGTCCGCGACCATGCGTCATAGCGAGAAACCACGCATATCACGTGAAACAGCGGAATCGTAGCTTTCCGAATGTTTTCACAGTGAAAAAAATGATAAAGTTACACTAAAATGATGTATAACAGAGCTTTCATACAGCTATGCACACACATTACTCTTGGATGGATTGGATCGCACAGAAATGCCACGCATATCACATGAAAGCGCAGGAGCAGAGCTTTCCAATGATACCACACACATCATTGTGCTGTCATCCCATCACGCTATAAATCCAGATTAATTGTCTACCAAATAAAATCCTGACGAATTTCTTTACAATCCATTATACAGATCTTGTTATCAGTCACTTCATATAGTGAGGAATATGTATCTTACCACGTCTTAGGCTTGCGTGTGTTTCTCCCTGTCTATCCACATTTGTAGTCCGGCTTTCAAGATGCAAATATCTCCATATTGTCCAGTTGACACTCCATCAAACTTTGTATGACAAGACCAGCCACTTCACCTTTGCACACCCAGACAACTGCAGCCTAATTATGCGTACATGACAGGGCCGTAGTCACCATATACATTGAGGGGGACACGTGCCCCCCCACCAATGCCCAATTTATTTTTTTTTACTGCAATCAAAGTGGCAAATATTATCTTGGAGGACATCATTGCACTTGGGTGACTATTTTTCTATTATCTTAGATGTAAATATTGCATGTTTCTTTCAGATAAAACACATTTTTGACTTGTGAATGAGTCAATGGAATTTCTTGCAATAATGAAAAAATACTG